TTTTTCTTATTTCAAGTAACTGTCTCATTTTAGAGTGAAAATCTTATTCTTTTGGCATAATCATCTTATCAACCTACTCAAATTAATGATAAATACACTTAATTTGGGATATTTTTACTTATTTCTAGATCATTTTTGCAAAGTAAGCTCTTGTCGTTTGAATTTTTGATTTTCAAAGTATTTATTTCTTATAAAGTATTAACGGTGGACAAACAGTCTTATTGCTACAGAATAAATATTGACTCAAAAGGACAACGCCTTGATCTAATCTGATCAAAATGAGCGCAAAGATGTCCAAAAACGCCCACATACTGGATCATGTCAAAGTAAATCGGGACTGATGTTTGTAGAGCTTTAAAACTAGAAGCTTCCCAACTAAAGCGTGACTGTAGACCTACGTTTGGTGGCATTGATGAGGTTCTTTCCGTCCTTGTAGAGCTCTTTGATGAACCTGTTGGTTTTGTCCAGCTCTGCTTCCTGAGCCTTGATCTTCTCCCTGAAGTTGGGGCTGTCCAGATAGCACTCACTGAACTCCAGCGCCTGGAGCCCCATTGCTGGGACACGGCTGGGCGTCCACGCCACACGGGAAGGGAAACCGACCGAAAGCTGCTTCCACGCCGTGGGAGCGACACCAGAGACAGTTCCACTCACACCGCCGCTCTGTGGGCCGGAGCTTTCAGCTCAGAATGATGGACCATAGTTCCCACAGGTAGCAGCAGAAGCTAACATTTGTTAGCATTGTAGCTCCTGACGCGGCTGCATGGGTGGTGCTCCTCTCCACCGCTGTCACATTAATCCTCCTGCAGCTATCGGGTCAAAAAGAGGAGAAAAGAGGCGCTTTTTCAGTCACGAATTAATCAGACAAGAGTTAATAAAACTCCCCAATAGAACAGGAGCGGTGTCCACTTTTCCCTTTTTCCATTAAAGGACCTCCACCTAAAGTGACAGATTAAGAAAGTCTACTGACATCTGAGAGAGGAGAAAAGTTAAGAGGCGCGCCTCTTCACGGCCAGCCGGTGGTTGAGTCGGGGATTAGCGAGGGAGGAGTTAAGCTACTAAAACGTTTTTTTAGAGCCACACTGGCACCATTATCATGTAGAAAAGATTGGTCAGCAAACTCCAAATGTTATTAAATTTATTTCATTTATTTTGTTTTTACCGTTAATAATAATAAATATATGATTTTACTGACACGAATACTGAATATTACATTTAACTAATATTAATGTTTTTTTTTTTTTCTTTTATCTGAAATGTTTTGAAGTAAATGTGATCATAGGGACAAAACTGAATCTAAGAAATGTATATCAACATTTAAGAACAGGTACTGGAAAATTAATCTGAATCTTAACTTACCTCAGATAAAATCGTTGTGTGTTTGTGCGCGTGTGTACAGAATGACTGTTTATATGAATCACGTGATCGACGTGGGCATCTACTCAGTTTGACTTATTTTAAAATAATAGTAAACTCCGCCCTCAGGTACGGCGCCTTGCTGGCGGATTGATAAATGATGCGTGGCTTCTTTCAAAGAGTCTCTCTAAGTCCGTGATAGTGCAATCACACAACACCTTCGGTACGTCTCCTGACCATTCAGTGTTTCAGGTTTTTGTTTTTTGTCATTCCTTTAGCTCCATATTATGGAGCTAAATTGGGTACATAAAGTTTATTCAAAAGCATTTTAAACAGAAAACACTCATTTCAAACTGCATTATTTAGAAACTGAAAATAAAAGATTTGAAACAGGCAACAAAGGCTTAGAAATAGTTTTCATATTTTTTTTTTTTTTTACTTCTGTCCCCTCCATATTAAAATGTGGGATAAAGAGTGGCAACTTATTCCCTGCTGCTGCATTCAGGCAATGTGGGAAATAAAAACATATTTAAAACACAGTTGATATTCTATATTAATGGGACCGTTTTTGAATAATATACTGCTTCACTGATCTAAGCTGTTTAAGTCAGCACATGATACAAATTTTCAGTGGATAACTTTATGGTTTTGACGATTTTAATTGTTTTTTAATCTATTTTTTTTTCCAGTTTTAAAAAATTATTTCAGCTTCTTTCAGTTAAGTTGATATTTCAGTTTCAAAACCATAAGTTTTATGGCTCTAATTAAGCACCATATTCTTTCATTTAGTCACTCAAAGCACAGGTTAGAAATACACACCTTAATGTTGACCAGGAGAGTCAAGTAGTTTGACTTTATTTGATTAAACTTCCAGTTTAGGTTTAATTGTCATAGTAAAAAACGAAGAAAGGGATTAAATCAAGCACACTTAGGCTTTGCATTTTTTAGGCTACAAAACTTAGTAGTGTTTTTTCAGATTAACCTTGGATATCTAATATTTAAACCAACAAATAATTTAACAGTATAACTGCTCTCCAATTGGCTAACCAGAACTAAAACTGGTAGAAAAGTTTTTCACTTCTGCAGCTGGGATATTTAACCGGTATATTTCATGTTTCATATGCATTTATTTTTATATTTTTAATTATACTCGGGTTTAAATACATGTTTCAAAGGTGTCTCTATAATCATAATTTCTGTGTTATTAACAATGTAAATGCATGGGGGAAAAAAGGTAACCATCTTGATCAGTTGAACTCTTTGATTCTTTCCAACTGAAGGTTAGACAAACAGATACACCAAGAGTTTTTCATAGCTACGGTATATTTAATAATTTATCCACGGATAGAAATTAAACGTTTCTTTAGAAAAATACACTTTTAGTAGCGACTATATTCAGCTTCAAAGTAAATCCCCGTATCTGCCAGTGAGCGCGCGGAACGTTTAACTCTGGGACATGCTTCCTTCCGTGCTACTTTTACCGCGGACAGCGTCGCCGCTCAGCTGGATATACGTGAATGTGATTCATTACAAATAGAACCAGCCCGGTTTTTATCAAACCTCTCCCGTATTCGCAACCGGGAAGTGAGATGCCGCAGTGAGAACCGAGGCAGCGGCTTCATATCTGCTGGTTTTCGGGGCTGTTTTGGTTCCCAGTGAGGCTAACTGCTGATGGACGCCATGCTGGGGTTTGGTTGCTGCTAGCATCAATACATCAACTGCTTCTGGCTGCAGGTTTCTCAGACACAGCAGCCTGGAGCCAAACTCTGCTCACAGTAAGTGTTTCTAGAACCAGAATACTAGAAAAAAACAACCGGAAGTGCCATGATATTAATGAAAGGAGTTTGTATATGAGATTTCATAGTATTAAATTCCCTTTGCAACCTGAACTGAAACTGAATGAACCATTATAACAGATCAGTGCTCAAAAGATCAGTTTATATATAGTCAGTTAAAACAAGAAAATGAAATAAACATGTTGGTGCTTTATTGTTATTATAATAAACATTGTTGTCACTATTATGTATGAATGTAGCAGGTTCCATGAGTTGAAATGTTATATCATTAGTTTTGTTCTTCTGGTAGGGATGCCAAATACCAACGCAAAGCCCAAGCATGGGAGGAGGGCCCGGAGGAGGCGGAGAGGGGACCCTGGCAGAGAGCAGCTGGTGTCCAGCTCCCTGGAAAGCGCTCAGCAGTGTCTGCTCAACCAGGACTATGGAACAGCCTTTGTGCATTACCTCCTGGTCCTCCACCTGGCACCTGTGTTCAAGGACTTTGCACGGGTAATACTTGGTTATTAGAATTCAATTCAGTTTATTTCTATAGCGCCAATTCACAACAAATGTCTTCTCAAGGCACCAGATTATCCAGTCAAATTGATTCAAAGTTTTCTATTTAAAGAAAGCTAGTTGATTGCATCGACTCATTGACTCGGATGCAATCCCTCACACTAAGCATGCCTGTAGCGACAGTAGAGAGGAAAAACTCCCTTTATTATAACACTTTATCAGCAGTCTGGAAAGATTTTTCACTTAATGAATGTGGTGTTTTCTAAATATAATGCTTTGAACTCAAACAAAATAAAGTTTTGTTGTTTTTATTTTTGCTATTCTGTTTTATAGTAAAATAAGTCTAGAATGACGTAGCATCGCTAAAACCATCAGTACCAGTTCTTTTTTTTAAACTTTTTTTATGTAATTTAAATCAAATTTTAATCGTTTTTAGGTAACATTTATCAAGAATATATAAAAAAAAAGGAAGAGGTCAGACGGAAGAGAAGAATCTAAACAGTTTAGGGGGAAAGTGAGACACTTTGATAATAGAACAAGAGACATTTTACATTTAAAATAAGTGAATAAAATGCTTTGTCTTATTTCAAGTAATTTTCTTATTTTAAGAGTAAAAATCGTATTCCTTTGGCAAATTATCTTATCAACCTACTCAAATTAATGATAAATACACTTAATTTGGGACATTTTTACTTATTTGTAGATCATTTTTGCAGTATAAGCTCTTGTCCTGGATTCCATTAACACTATTGGCTTGAAATTTTGAGTTTCAAAGTATTTCACTGAGGGCCCTATAAAGGATTAACAGTGGAGAAACAGCCTTATTGCTACAGAATAAACATTGATTCAAAAGGACAACGCCTTGATCTAAGCTGATAAAAATTACTGCAAAGAAGTCAAAAACACCCACATATCGGATCATGTCAAAGTAAATCGGGACTGATGTTTGTAGAGCTTTAAAACTAGAAGCTTCCCAACTAAAGCATTACTGATAAAATCAAATTTTAACCGTTATTAGGTAACATTTATCAAGAATATAAAAAAAGGAAGAGGTCAGAAGGAAGAGAAGAATCTAATCAGAGCAGAATAAATACAGATGGCCAGGTTTCCTAAACCTGCTGGGATTAGAAAACCGTAACCAGAAACCGTGAATCGAACCGAACCGTGGATTTTGTGAATCGTTCCACCCCTAATATATATATATGTATGTATATATATATATGCCCCCAATTAGAGCCTGATTAATCTACATTGAGCCTGGTTCTCCATGAGGTTTCTTTCAGTTAAAAGGGAATTTTTCCTCTCCACTGTCGCTATAAGCTTTGTTTTTGTTTTTAAATTTGATGTGTTTTATTGCATGTAATGTATCTGAAATCTGTAGTTAGAATTTATCATCTAAACCCCTTCAGATGAGGGTCATCTGAAGGGGTTTAGATGATAAATCCCTTTAATTAAACAACCATTTTCTCTCCTTTATCATGTTGTGGGGGGTGGGGGTGGATTGATGTTTCATTTTATATAGCATCAAATAATAAAACATATCATTTCAAGGCATTTTACAGACATAAGTCAACCATCAGATGGTCAAATTGGTTCAAGTTTTCTGTCTAAGGAAAACCAGCTGATTGCATCGACGTATTGACTCTTCAGCAATCCCTCACACCAAGCATGCTTATAGCGACAGTGGAGAGGAAAAATTCCCTTTTAACTGAAAGAAACCTCATGGAGAACCAGGCTCAATGTAGATTAATCAGGCTCTAATTGGGGGCATATATATATACATACATATATATATATTAGGGGTGGAACGATTCACAAAATCCACGGTTCGGTTCGATTCACGGTTTCTGGTTACGGTTTTCGGTTCGATTCGATACATGTTGATTGTTACACCGAAATCCCATAAATGTGAATATGAAATTAATGAAAAAATGAAATGAAAAAAAAATTCCCCCAAAAATAATGGATTGTAATTATTTTAAATGATCCACAGAAACCCTGGATCATTTCCGTATGTTTTGCTGCTTTGAATTTAATCATCT